AGAGAAGTAATTGTAACCATTATTATTAACTTTTGTTACTCAAAACTAGAGTTTACCTACATACAGTGTTTGTTCTTAGGACGGCGGAATTATTATTTAAAAATAAATCTTACACAATATTTCCAGGCTCATTGAACGTTCTTTGTGGTTTAGATTCATTATTAAACATTTCATATTGGGCTTCGATTAACATTTCATCTATTTCTAAAGATAATTTCAAATAAAGTTGTTTCATGCATAGATCTAAAGATTTTATCTTAATATTGAAATGTTTCATGAATTTGATGTTTTTTATTAACCTGAAAAAACATTTTTTAATAACTTAGCAGTTAATTAAAATTTAATCGTTAACTTTACCTAGATTCCGAGTCAATTATTGTGAGAACATTTGGAGCTCCCAAAGAACATGTTGCACGGCTACATCTCATATCATTTAGAATTTTGAAATCCTAAATAATTATGTGTGTTAATACGGTTGGTACTTATTTGCTTCACTCAAAGATGTGATGTAAGATACTTACAGTTTCTAAGTGTTTCTTAAAACGGGGTTGAAGTTGTAATAATACAGTTAAGAGGCTTTCTGGCATAGGTTTTAACATTGTGTTTTGAACAAAGTATTCAATTTAAACGTTGTGTATTAATTAACAACTTACAAAAAAGCATGAACTCAGTACATCGATATAGTAGTTGCAATTTATTGCAGAATTACTGGTAAACGAAAACCACGAAAACGTTCTGAAATGAAGAATAAAACAGGAATGCGCGTGTCCGGCGCAAATCTGATTGGTGCCTAATGTTCTTAAGAGGGGATCTTTATTATTGTTAGTGAGAAGCATATGACGCACTTGTTAGGAATACAAAAAATGTATTAAATAAAAAAAGTTATTAATTAGAAAACTATTTGATAAGTTAGGTACCAATATTTTTAACTGATAACGCTCATTTTTATTTGAAGGTATTTGGTCGTGATACTTTTTTGTATTAGCACCATCTATTTTGCACTAGTTAAAACTTGCGCAAAATAATAGTTTAGTTTCGAATGGAATTTACAGTTTAAGCGGAAATTTTATTAATAATAATTCCCTTTCCTTTTTCCCCCAGTGTCTTCTAGATAACAGAAATCTTAGTTTTATGGTATTTATTTTATTTTGGGGGATAACCACTCCTACATTAAAAAAAAAGCAACCCCTGTCGAGTTTTCCGTATTTTAAAGGTAATGAAAAAAGAAATACAACCCCATAAACCAAAACCCGATATCTTAATTCTTTCAACAATTATGAGGTTTTCTTTCGACTGTTGATTTAGAAATTGAAGACATGTCGCACTTCATCGTAAGATCCTTGTTTATAGATATACATAGTTATTCAACCGATGTTAGTTTGTGCACATGATACCCAGATGGCTGGGTAATTTATGTGTCGCCATTCATAAAAATTTAAATTTTACTATACGCGCCCTAACGTATTACTACGAAAAACGTAAAATAAGTTGCATATATTTTAGTATTTCTTGCATAGAAAAAAATCGATAATGTGTCCTTCGAGAATAACACCGAATTGTAAAAGACTATTCGTCGGTTGGTACCGATTTGTAGACGCCAAATTTTTTTAAGTAGGTGTATGAACAGGTTTTATGAGAGGAAACCAACTGCGTTGAATCTTTTTAAGAAGTTTGTTTAAAAGACTATATTTTATATACCGAGTAAGGCATTCAAATTGAGACTACCTAATAACTCATAAAACATCAATTTTATCAAAAAAGTTTCAGATAAAACTTTCATCGTATAAAGGCGGAAAGTATTCTGAACGATTTTTATTGCATATTAGAAGCGCCATCAATATTTTTCAATTGTTAAGTATGCTTTTCAAAGGGTACATGTTTTTTGATATGCATGGTTTTTCGAAGAAAGGGCCAATTGAAAAGTTACCTATAATCCCACACAATATATTAACTGCCCAATGTCGTTACTAATTCATTTCACGTAACCAATAAAAATTTTCTAGTAACCAATAAAGCATACTTGTATCTAATAACAAAATGAAATTGGCTTTTGGATATCATTCTCCTAAAGCTCTTGATGCAAAGTCGTCTGTCAAGTTGGCACTACATCTTGCGATTTCAATAAAAAAAATATTGCATTAATTGTCGTTTAATTAGTTGTAATTTGTCGTAAAGTTTACAAATTTGTCGCTTCCTTTTTTATAAACAATACTTGAAATATTGCATTTTTGAGGTAGTGCTAACTTGACAGTGGGAATCTATGGTAAAGAGTGGAGATAACAAAAAACTAATGACGTCATTCATTGTTGCTTAATTTGTTGTAATTTGTCGTAAAGTTTACAAATTTGTCGCGTCCTTTTTTAAATATATGGATTATTACGAACAGCAGCTTAAACATTGAATTTCTTGTAGCGCCTTTTTCTCTATTGAAGATCTTACACAAGATAGGATGTTTCTGTCTAGAAATCTTTGTTCGAATAAATTTTGGGCATAATTAGTATCTCTGCCTGCTCCATAAACAAAAGTCATTTTAGTTGTTTCAGCAATCGTGTCCCTTTCCGTGCATAATTAAAATAAGCAATAAAGTTACTATTTTACAACATAAGGAATTTGTAATTTGCAATTATAAGTAGTTAGCAGGATTTGTTATGTTTTTTGTTGTTATGTATTAATGATTTTCATTATGTTCAGTCAACACAATAAAGTCAACCTTAAAAAAGTTCATTAATATACAGGCTGTATCTAAATTGCGATATCAAGGAGTGATTTTTCAACAAAAATTAAGGAGAGTCTTTCATATAACTTTTTGTTCAAAACCCCTTCCCCACCGAGTTACAGCACTCTAAAATTAGGGGAAAAAATTGTTTTTATTTAACAAATCCACTATGGAGGAATTTAGAAGATTGAAATTTTGCAGGTAACTGTTGTTAATAAAATGACACTTTATGACGATTTCTATAACCCGAAAATGTTATTACAAGAGGCTGAACAAATCAACCCCATAATAGTTTGCATTAGAACTTTTTAATACGTCTACATTTTTCTATTTAAAAACTTGATTTAAATAGTGGGATTCAATACGCAACTTTTTTGTCTCTTGACGTTTTCTCCTACAATTGTTAGTTTGATCACAAAAAAATAAAATAATACATAGGCTCAAGTGAATTAATTCAGAGATTAATTATTATTAGTCAAAGAAATGAAGTTATGTCAAATTGATCTCGGCATTATTTTATTTTTTATGATCAAATTAACAATTTGTTAGTTGTAAAATGTCAAGAGATAAGAAAGTTGCACATTTTTCCCTTAATTTTAGAGGGCTATAACTTGGAGGAGAAGGGGTTTTGAACAAAAAGTTATATGAAAGACACCCCGTAATTTTCGCTGAAAAATCATCCTTGAAATCTTTCACATCAATTTAGAAACACTGGTATAATAAAATCAGAAATACTTTATTTTTATTTATTTAATTGATTCTAATTAATATTTCTTAATTTTCGTATTTGTATTTTAACCAAAGAATTCTTAATGACGAAATAATAAAGAAGGAATTTGTATACGTGAAGTCGTTTATCCAAACTCGGGTAGTAGCAAAAAAACTTTGTTTATACTACATACTCGTTTGATATGTGTGATCCATTAAACTGTCGGTCGGCCAATTGCTCAAAGGAACGCTCGGCGCTACCACGTCTGGAATTAAGTCTGCAATAGGACGAACAAAAATCAAAACTGACTTTTTATATTTTTACTACAATTTAAACCGAAAATAATTATTGGTTTTTTTTATTCTATCCGAGAAAAGTACTAATTGATTTATTTAATTAGCAAGTTAATTTTTGGTTCTCTATTATAAAAAAAGGACAGATATTTTTTAAAATATTTATTGTTAGATGTACAGTCAACGCCCGCTTAACGTACGCCCGCTTTACGTACGTTCGCAGATACGTACAAGACGTTTTATGACCTCGTGTTCGTACAACGTACATTTGTCATCCGCATTAACGTACATCGGCGATCTAATTTCATTATTTTTTTTATAGAAAGTGAATGATTGAATTCAAATAAAACTAGAAAAGTAAGAGCCTTATTTTTACATTTTATTCTAATTTAAAAAAGTCGGTACAAGTAAAGATAGCATAAATAACTTAATAAATAAACGATTATTAACTTATCGATTCTTAAGTTTTTTTAGTTAAAAATTGTTTTAAGGTTAATTGCCTAAGGCCAGTCTTCTTTTTCTCTATGTACATGGTTTTGTAACAAGTAAACGCATCACGGAGTATACCTACAACATTAGAACTTCGTTCCATATTTGGGTCTACATTCTCTATGACATCGGCGAGATTTTCCATTTTATTTAAAATTTCACTTAAAGTTTCTAAGTTTAATACATTTTCTTTGGGCAGGTCTTCAACGGCGTCATCGTCATTCGTTTCGACATTATCTGTCTTTTGTAATTCCATGAGATCTTCGATAGACAACTCTTCGTCATGTGATTCTATTAACTCTTCGATATCTTCTTCGTTTATTTCCAAGCCTAAGCGCGTTCCAATTTCTATCACGCCTTCTACAACTTCGTTTTAAGATTTTCAACATTTGTTTCTTCGTCATAAACAAATTGCGGGCACAACTTTTTCCACGCTCTTTTCATTGTCGTTTCTTAAGTTCATCCCAAGAGGCAGATATATATTTAATTCCATTATGAATATTGTAATCTTTCCAATAAGACTTAACCGTTAATTCCTTATTATCATGAATAGTTTTAATCATGCTTACCATAGTTGCACGTAAATAATATTTCTTAAACGCGGAGGTTTGGTCCATCGGTTGGATTAATGATGTCGTATTTGGTGGCAAAAATATTACCTTTATATTGGGACATAACTCATTTAACGTTATTGGATGCCCTCGGGCATTATCAAGAAGTAGTAATGCTTTAACCGCTAAGTTGTTTTTAGAGCAGTAATCTTTCACTTCTGGAATAAAGTTGTTTCTATACCAATCTTCAAATACAGATTTCGTGATCCAAGCTTTACGATTTGATTTCCAAATCACTGGCATTGATGACTTTGATACACCTTTAAGCGCTCTCGGACTTTCACTATGGTAAACCAACATTGGCTTCAATTTAAAATCACCTGCCGCGTTTCCACCTAGTAATAAAGTTAGACGATCTTTGGCAGCTTTATATCCCGGCATACGTTTCTCATCTTTAGTGATATATGTGTTGGAAGGCATCTTCTTCCAAAACAATCCCGTTTCGTCAACATTAAAGATTTGATGTGGACTGTAATTTCCATCATGGACAATAGCTTTTAGTGTTGCTATAAATTCACTAGCAGCGTTAGAGTCTGCACTCGCTGCTTCTCCTGTCAATTTCACTTTAATTAAGTTGGCCCTGATTTTAAATCTTCTAAACCATCCCCAACTTGCATTAAACGTATCAGTTGCGTTCTCATCCATTTTTTTCTTAATTCTGAATAAATTTCCTTAGCTTTTTGTTGGATAGCAGAAAGACTTAAAGGAATATTTCTGTGTAATTGAGAGTCTAACCAAACTTTCAAAATCCCCTCCATTTCTTCCATCACATTAGAACGTATACGAGTACCTGAAGTTTGTTGAAGATTTACCCCATCTTTAACATAACACTTCAAACATTCTTTTGATTTTACTATTGTGTTAACTGTTGATCTACTGTATCCTAAACGTCTTCCTATTTCCGCTAGTTTTTCACCCTTCTCTGCCATTTCAATAATTTTCAGTTTTTCAGCAAAAGTAATCGTTTTTCTTCTTTTCGAACCTTGTTCTATCTCGCGGTCACCTTTCCTTTTATTCATTTTCAACTTTTTATTTCTAAAATCCCGTTTGATCGAAATGTATTGACGCGGACGATGTCTGAAACGATCTGAAGCGAACTCAGGACGTGTATCGATTGAATTCACAAAGATATTTTTTCGTCCGGTCTCTTTCGGTAAATCCCCTATGCAAAATGTGGTAAAATAGAGTAGTGTAACGAGCAAAGTAGGAAAGTCCCGAGTCGGCCGTAAGTGTACGTTCGTACGAACAAGTTTGTACGTTCGTGCGAACAAAGATCATCTTGGAACCAATTAAACATAAATATACGTATTCTTATGGATATTTCGTGTTCGTTTAACGTACATCCGTTATACGTACGGTAACTCAGGAACGCATTGTGTACGTTAAGTAAGCGCTCACTGTAATGCTTAAAGTAATTAAATATTTTATATGTTAAACAATTTCGTGTTCAATCACATAAATTCAATTAATCTTTTATTCTGAGTATGCAACTTCTACTACAAGTTGGATTTCCAATTTTATTCAATTCATTCATAAATGATGTTTTTCTCGTTCGCCGTTAGAGGCAGCACGAGCTAGAGCAACCCAACTCGATCGGTTGAATAACTATGTATATCTATAAACAAGGGTAAGATCTTGTTCTATCCACTGCGGGAAGTTAACCCGCATTTTTTGATTTTTAAATTTTTTATTGTTGTTCTAGAGTTCTTCTACATTGTTCCAAAGCAGCAAATCGAAAAAATTAAAACTCCGCGAGAAAATTTTTGGAAAAATCAAATTTTCTTTGTTGTTCTGGGATGTTCTAGTTGTTCCAGTTATTGTTCTAGAAAATCAAAATTATGGGATACGGCATTACGAAGTTATAACTAAAAATAAGTTTGGCCACCGAAATGTCTAGTTGATTGCTCTGACCATAGTTTTTCTATTATCACTTCCATATTACAAATATACATATACTTATTATACCTAACGCAATCTGGAACAGCTATTATTTTCACTAGAACAACTCTCTAAAGTTCACTTTACTCTTTGAAAATTACAGTTTTTGGAACTTTCAGTTAGTAATTCTTTCATAAGTTCATAAGTAAGTTTCATTATTACCAACTATTCCAGTACACTGTTAAAAGTTTGACGGAGTGATTTAAAGCCGTGTGTCCACTACCAAGTTTTCTTGCGGAAGTTGCTTCCACAAGTGACTTCCAGAAGTTTTTGTCGTGTAAACACGTATGTTTTTGTCGTGTTTATACGACAAAAACTTCTGGAAGTCACTTCTGGAAGCAACTTCCGCAAGAAAACTTGGTAGTGGACACACGGCTTAACTCTTTCGGTATAAGGTGAAATATTACCGCGAAAAAGTGGTAAACCTAACTAAATTCTAGTAGGTTACAACACTTTTCAGAGTCAAAATAACTTTGTTAAAAGATGTTAAAAATACGGTGTTAATCTGTTTACTCCTTACAGTGTAACTTTACACTTTCCAACTCTGCATTATGATTAAAAGTAGAATACAAATAATTCGGTGTAAACTAACTAAATTTTAAATTGTATTTACCCCGCTATATAGGTTTCGTTGCGGTCATATGATCTATCACGTGATTCTTCTACAGTATTGGCAATTTTTAGTCGAAGCAAGTCGCAGCGTGCACAAACGTTATTAAATCGTGGTACTTTAATTTTTTAATATTTTCCATATTTTTGTTAAAATGTATGATTGGTGCATTCGCGTAAAGTACGACCGAAAGAAGAGGGTTAAGTTAAGTGGGTAAGAATTGGCTAAACAATTGATTGATGAAGCGGTTAAGTATATTTTACTTATTGTTGATTTTGTTTATTTGTACAAATCATTATTTTATAAATACTCTACTTATTAGATAGAATTGCTCGATAAATTCATACTATTTGCATTATTACTGTAAGTTTTATATATTATATTTTATTTAATTAAATGTTGGTGCCTAAACATCGCTCCACACGCCGTTATTTGTTGGCGCCACCGCTGGTTTGAATGTTAAGCACATGTGGCTTGGGAGTTGGTGGTTCAAGAATTGATCTTACATGGATCTTACGCATTTAACGTACCGACGCGCTAAAAAAGAGTTAGCTACTAATTATTTTGTGAATTGGATTGACGAAATTTTTGCTTTGCTGTTAAAGTATTTCTCGAGGTTGCTTTCGAAAAATAATAATTATTGTTCTAAATTCACTCATCACAAAATTAACCGGACATTTGAATTTTTCAAATCATTTTTTTCTTTATATTGTGAATTTAGGTTGCATAATAATAAACATTTTGACTTTTTAGGTTGCTTTAGATTTTCAATTAAAATTTCAAAACTTTGGAAGGTATAAAAGCAACTTTCCGAAATATATCGATAAAGT